ACCCCTTGTCCGTATTCTCCGCGTGATGGATGATGAGTTATATTCTGCCATCCCCGAAAAGGTGCACTTAGTATACACTCATCTGTTAGTAGCCAAGAAAACGTTTGGAGCGCCCTTCCTGCCTCTACCTCTGCTGATCCGTAAAAACGTGAAATGAACAGTCGGAAAGGGGCGGCAATTCTTCTCAAGACTGTGCAGATTAATTGTGAGCATTGCGTACGTATCGATATGTACAAGGCTTGTGCGATGCCGTGCCAGATCCAAAGTTGTGTGGCCCCCGCCCTTCTAACCCAGGAGTTAATAAAAAAATATAGAACAAAATTGTTCATTCTCTTCCCGCACCCGCCTCACAAGGATTGGAAGCTCCTTGGAAGAGTATCACAGCAAAGGGATAGATACACGTGCCTCCTTATGCTTCCCCATTTTTGCTAAGTTAAACAGAAAAGGGGAAGAAAAAAAAAGAAAAACATATACATATACCTATACATATGCACATATATGTACGTATATGTATGTATTATAATATTACGTGAAGGAGATTCTGCCTCCTCACCCCTGAAGTGTCCGTGCCAAGAAGCCAGACTATTTCCAAGTAGGGCAGTTTCGTAGAGAATTTTCTTTTTTTTTTTTTTTCCCCATTTGGAGGGGGGAAGAATCCGCGTTACATGCATACGTGCACCTGCATCGGTGCCGCGCTAGCACGTGGAAGCGTAAAAAGAGGGAATCCCCAGGTGAGTGGCTCCCCAGTGCGGACCGCCCCGTTGCTTCATAAGCGACTGAGTGTTAATCGGCTGCGTCTCAACTCGCCGCGTCTTAACCCACTGCTTCTTACCCCGCTGCGTCTTAACCCGCCGCATGACAGCCCGGAGAGACCCAGGATGGTGCTGGACATCAACCTATTCAGGAAGGAAAAAGGGGGCAACCCCGATAAAATTAAAGAATCCGAAAGGAAGAGGTTCCATGATGAGACGAACGTTGATAAAGTAATCGAGTATGATGAGAAGTGGAGGAAGTGTATTTTCAAATTGGAAGAGTTAAAGAAAAATATTAACTTAGTGAATAAAGAAATAGGGAACAAAAAGAAGCAAGACAGAAATGCAGACGTGGAGGAATTGAAAAAAAAAAGTCTAACGATGAAGGAGGAAATCCCTCAGCTGCAGAATCAGGAAAGAGACTTACTCAAGCAGAGAAATAGGTACCTCAGTAAGGTCGGGAATTTGCTTAACAAAGACGTGGTCACTTCGAATGACGAGGATAACAACAAGGTGGTTACCACCTGGGGTGTGTGCAAAAGGTTCGAAGTTACCACGGATGAAGCGTCAGAAGGGGACAGAAGCGGGAAGGGCGCCCAATCCAAGGATGGCGGGAGCAACAAGAGGGAGGTCCCACACGGGAGCACCGGCATAAGCGGCATAGGCGGCAACATCCGCAGCGACGGTACGAAGAAGTACTACTACCACTTCGACCTGCTGAGGAAAATCGGAGGGGCCAACTTCAGGAAGGGCATCCAGGTGGCCGGCCACAGGGGCTATTACCTCACCGGAGCAGGCTTCCTCCTCCACAACGCAATTTTGCAATACGCGATAAGCTTCCTCGTGAGCAAAAATTACACCCCTGTGTATCCCCCCGTTTTTATGAAGAAAAATATAATGGAGGAATGCGCTGAGTTGGATGATTTTGAGGAGACCCTCTACAGGATCGCCTCCTCCACGGCGGCAACAGGCACAGCGGCAATAGGCACTGCAAGTGGGGCACCCGTCTCTCCGAACCTTACCCAGACTGACGAGCTAAACAGAGACGACCTATTCCTCATTGCTACGTCCGAACAGCCACTCTGCGCACTGCATAAGGATGAAACGATTGAGTCTAAGTATCTACCCTTGAGGTATGCCGGCGTCTCTTCCTGCTTTAGGAAGGAAGCAGGAGCACACGGAAAGGATATCAGAGGAATTTTGCGAGTCCACCAATTTGACAAAATTGAGCAGTTCTGTGTGTCTCTCCCTCAAACAAGCAACAAGGTACACAAAGAGATGATGAAAACATGTGAGGAGTTTTATCAGTCACTTAATATCCCATACAGAATCGTTAGCATCGTGTCCGGGGCACTGAACAACGCTGCTGCTATTAAATATGATCTGGAAGGTTACTTCCCTTCGAGTAATCAGTACAGGGAACTCGTGTCCTGTAGCAACTGCACGGACTACCAGAGCAACAATCTGAATGTTAAGTACGTCGATTCCAGTGTCAAAATTGGTGACGTGAAAGAGGAGGGGAAGAAAAAGGGATGCAATGAGGCTGGTTGCAATGGGGGTGGTCCCCACGAGGATGATCAGATTGGAAGTGACCACGAGGAGTTTCTGCAAAACTTCCAAACGGAGAGTAGGAACACGGTGCATCTCCTGAACGGCACGATGGTGGCGGCGCAGAGGTTCCTGTGCTGCCTCCTGGAAAACTATCAAAACGGCGAGGGCATCGTCGTGCCGGAGAAGCTCCGCCCCTACATGAATAACGTCGAATTTATTCCCTTCATCGAATGAGATAAGCGGTGGGGCGGCGGAGTGGCGTGACGCGACACGACGCGACGCGGCATCTTTGTACCACGTGCACAGCGCCGTCACATCGGCCACAATTTCTGTCGCCATCTCGGCATGCATCTTTTTTTTTTTTTTTTTTTCCCGCCCCATCATTCTTGTGAACACCTTTCACGGGGAAGGTCCAATTTTTTCAAAGCAGTAAAGATACAACAGCAACCAGTGGGTGTAAAAAGAACGCGTAGCGGCGGAAAGTTACACGTCGGGTATACACCGTTTACACAGCGGGCACCCGCCGGGTAGCTCCCCCCTAGGCTGAAGCCTCAAACCAAGCGCATGTGTAGCTACCTCACGGGAGAAGGGGCCTATGGGAATACACAGGGAAAACTTCCCTTTTTCGTAACTCACGTTTTAGGAACGAGGCGACCGCATATTTACCGATCAAAGGGACGGTGAAAATGGGACAAAACGGTGGCGTCCCCGTGGTGGCTGGCACAGTCGTAGTTCATCCCATCGTTGGGCCACCCCCTCCCCCAAAAGGAATACCAACGTGAGGAACATCCCTTGTGTTGTACCCCCGTTGTAGGTGCCCCGTTCTGTTGTACCCCCATTTGTTCTGCCTTCACTTCACCTTATCGTCGTTTCCCTTTGCCATCCCACAAGGGGGTGTAGAGGCGGATGGGAGCCTGATGCGCGGCGGTCACCTCCAGGTGTCCAGCCCCACCCATGTAGCTACGCACATTCTGCCATCCGTTACCTGCCATCGGTTACCTGCCATCGGTTACCTGCCATCGGTTACCTGCCATCGGTTACCTGCCATCGGTTACCTGTCATCTGCCATTTCATCGCCCCGCGCAAGAAGGAAAGAGCAGCATATGAACTGACCCACTGGGCCATTTAAAGAAAAAAAAAAAATGGAAAAAAAATCGCACCATTTCCGTCATAGAATTTTGGAAAAAAAAAAGAAAGGGCCCACTTCACCCCGCTGACTGCAGAACGAGCAGCACTTCCGATGAAAAGAGCATAGGCATGTAGGGGTGTGCACACGTTTCCACTCTTCCGCTGTTCCACTGTTCCGCTGTTCCGCTGTTCCACTGTTCCGCTGTTCCACTGTTCCGCTGTTCCACTGTTCCGCTGTTCCACTGTTCCGCTGTTCCACTGTTCCACTGTTCCGCTGTT